TATATATATATATATATATATTCGTCTACGCAATGTCTCAAATAAGAATTTATCTACACTGACGGAAAGTGACTTCTGCAGATGATTGTGTATGATAATAAATATAGAGTTAATCACTTATACACTGCTAGTGTAAATTTTTTTTACACTGACAACCAATTATATTCTTTAATTGTGTCATGTTACTGTAAACACAATTACTTTTAACAGTGACATGACACAATTAATGATATAATTAGTTGCTAGTGTCATAAACTTTACACTGTTTGTATAGATGATTAAATCATATGTACCATTTCGAAAACATTAATGTTAAATCGGTCACCTGTCCACTTCTCAAAACCATGAGTCTGGCGTGGCAGTAGCTTTCCATGCAAAAGAGTGGCTACTTTTACTAACAATTAAAAGAATCTAAATATATAACAATATAATTTCAAATTTTATAAAGATAAAAAAATTACAGAAACTAAAATAAAAATTCACTCGATTACAAATATTAAAAACGTCTTTGATCCAATATTTTATTTATGCATGTAACTTCTGCAACATCAGTAGCTGATCATAAAATAAACAAAAGACCAAGTCCAAATGGAGTCCACCTCTCATTTGGGAGCAACGGTTTTATTTTACAGTGAGAGCAACATGACTAATTAAGTGAAGCCACATTACATTGCCTCATCTTGTTGATCATGAACCCTATTAGTATTCCCTCCTTCCTCCTTCTTTGAGACTTCTTCGGCACTAGGCCCATAAGCCCAACTACAAACCAAATAGTACAGTATATTAACAACACTCATTATGGCAAGAAGCCAATAATACTTATCATAGCGACCCTTGTTAATGTTATCCGAAACCCAACTTTCTTTTCCACCTCTTGAAGTAACGTTATCCACAATGCTTACTATAAGGGAAGCCACCAAGTTTCCCACAGCAGATCCAAGCCCAAATAGGGACGCAGCAATGCTTGACATGCTGCTTGGGAACTCGGAGTAATAAAACTCTGATTGCCCTATTGTATTAAAAGCTTCTGCTATACCACACAATATGTTATGTGGAAGAAGCCACATTGCAGACATGTCCAACACTGCATTAGGATTATTAATATAACCCTCACTAATTGCTTTCCTTCTCCTTATGCCCTCAACAACTGCCGAAGCTATGAAGTCCAAACACGAGAAAACAAGTCCTATTCCTATTCTCTTTTTGGCGCTGATGGTTACCGGTTTTCCTCTCACTTTTGAAGCTAGAGGGAGGATGACACGGTCGTAGACAACCGCGGTTACACACACTGCAAACATCATGAATACTCCGAAAGAACCTGCGGGAATTTGGAACTTTGAAGTGACGTGTCTGTTCATGGTTTTGGCTTGGAGAAGCCAAAGTGATGTTTGGCTGGTGCTGACTGCTACCATGATACCGGTTGACCAAATGGGAATGACTTTGATGATGGCCTTTAGTTCTTCCACTTGCTCTATTGTGCAAAGACTCCATTTGTTTGAGGCTGACCCATCAGAGGCTATGTCTTCTTCTCTGTCTTTGATGATGCAAGCTTTATTCAGAAACCTATAACATAAAGTCAGTTATTATTTGGATCATGTTCGGATAAAGTTCTTCATGAGTACTTATAGGAGAAGAAAATAAGAAAATGGAATGCCCTGAGCTTCTTTTGTAAGTTAAAATTAACTTGTGTATGGTTTTGAAGAAGTTAAATGAGAAAGCTCAATTCATTTTACGTTATTTTTTTCTTCTCTTAGTACTTGTGAACTAATTTATCCGAATGGAAAGTTCATCAAACCCATCATTACAAAATTAAGTATAAAATTTAGATACGATATTATGAATAGGGCTTGGTTATTCTTCGATTAAAATTAGAGTTTTATCTTAATAATATACATAAAAATAATATACATTTATAATTATGTATATTACTAAGATGAAACTTCAATTTTGATTGGAGAATAAAGTAATAGTATTTATGGTATTATATCTAAGTTTTGTGCTATGAATATTTTTACATTCAAGTTTCAACCTTAGTTTATCAGTTGGAGCAACAAGGGTGGAGTCCTTCTTATGGTGATACATGTCAGAGGAGTCCTGAGGTGGAAATGAAAGGTTTCTGTTCTTGTAAGCAACGAAAATGACTTGTGCGAAGCCAGTGAGCAAGCTGCTGCGTGGTTTGTGCTTGACATAACGTGGGGAAATGAGGAAGAACAAGAAAGTGGACAAGAACATAAGTGCTGCCGGAACCCCAAAACCGAGTTTCCATCCGAAGTGGTCTTGGATGTAAACTATTCCGGTCAAGGAAAAAACGACAGCAATGGCTTGAGAAGCAATGTAGCAACTTATGAAGCTCTCAAGGACCCTCTGGCTCTTAGTGTTGGGTTTGGAGTTACGGTTAAGTTGGTCTGCACCAAATGCTAAGGAGCATGAGATGCCACTGCCTCCAATGGATATGAGAGCAAAACAAGAAAGTAAGATAGCCATTTGGGCTGATGTTGCAGATTCGCAGTTTTCAGCTGAGTGGCTGCAAGGGGGAGGCCTTGCTTTTGGGCTCATTGCTGTTAACCACAACACTACCATTCCCTGTAACACCAATTCTTTTTGTAATCACTATATACTATCAAGTTAAAAAATAAATTATACTTCAACGAAATAATGATAGTACGTAAATGATCACGCCCCAAGCATATTTGGGATTGGAGCTTTCCCACATCTACTTGCAAATTATACTCTAGGTGTTTATGATCTTCATTCGATATATTTTTATCCGGAAATTCTTGGATATAATTCTAATCATGCTTAACTAATTACTTGATTAACCTATAATTTTTTTTTAAGATAAAAAAGATTATAAAGATGATCCCAATAAAAATTGAACCTAAATCTTCATACTTTTAACTATTTAATTCTTCTCACCTAATTACTAAATTAACCTTAAAGGTTAATTAACCTAAGATTTGAACGAAAGTTATAAATTTAGACTTGAGTGATATGATTTTAAATTTAAAATTAAAATTATTAAGAGATAATTTATATTAATATATTTTCTAAATAAGTCACAACAATATACAAAATAAATTCATATGTATACATAAGGCATTAATTGATTTTATAGATATTCATTTAACACTTGGATCTATATATATCATCTATCGTGCATTAATTATGTTATCTACGATTTTTTATTTCTTATGAAGTGATTTATAAATACTTAAAAATCTGTTGTCCATTTTTAGATGGATGGAAATAAAAACAAGAAAAATAATTAAAATAATTACTTTTAATAAAATGATATAACGTTCAAAAGTTATCATTCTTCGTTAACATGTACCCATTATATGATCCTTAATTCCTTATAAGCTATATTCATTATTCATAGACTTTTTTAACGTCTCATCATTAAAAAAATAATTAATTTAATTTTGATGGTAGATAGATAAATAGATATTTTAACCTAGTTATGATAAGATTCACTCGAGTTTGGTTAATTGAAAAATTAATAAATTTCATCCAACTCAACTCAAATAATTTTAATTAGCATGAATTTTAATTATAATATATATTTTTTATATCAAACTTAACATAACACAACACGACCATTTTTATTTTTATATATTTGTCCTTTCTTTTGCCCTTTTTCATTAAATATGATTTTTTTAATTATAATATCAACTTTACATAACAAGAAAATTATCACTTAGTGACATACCTTATAATGACATAATATTTATCACTAAAAATTATTTTTACTCACATAATAGATATAATATACATTAATATATTGTTAAAAAATATAGGTATAAATTATAATAACGTATAAAATATATTATTAAATTTTATTTAAAATCAATAATAAAATTATATATAATTATATATTAAATAGATATATAATTACATATATTATCTCTATAATAACATTTTTTGTAAGTCAATATATATAACATTTTTTATAATGTTAAATGAATATTTATTTTTCAAATGTTCTTTGATTTTATTTTAATTAGTCAATAAATTATTTCGCACGAATAACATAGTTAATAAAAAAATATAATTAAAAATATTGTTTACTTCTTGTAATTTTATATTTTCAAAGTATCCATTTACATTTTTATCACTTAACTTTCTTTTATATATATATATATATCACTATGTCTTTGTAGCCACATTTTTTTTTTAATTTAGTTATGATATTAAATTAAATTAGTCACGATTTTAATCGTAACTATAACATTTCATGGAGATTTAATGATTAAAAAAAACGAGTCAAGTAAGACAATAAAGATATAAGAAAATAGTTAAAAGGAGTATAAAATTACAACAAGGTAAAGTATAATTTATCTTAATTAATAAAAATATTGTCAAGTGTGGTGTCATAAATCCTTCCGTTTTGGGTAGGCATTGACTCACGTGATAAGATCCAAAGGTGTAAATATTAGTTTAAGAAAAGAGTAGATAGATAGAAAGGAGAAAGGAAGAAGGTAGCTACCAGAAAACTGAGAATTGAACCTAAAGCAATGGCTAGGAAGCGACCCAAATAAGCATCAGCCACAAAAGCACCGACCACAGGAGCAAAATTGGTAGCAGCAAACCATAAGAACAATATTTTGGTTGCTTTCAATACTCGGAGCTTGTAATCTTCTATCAGATACAATATCATGTTTGGTATAAGCCCAACACTAGCCAGCTTAGCAAGTGCCTCATTTGCTGAAACATTCACCAAAATCAAACTAGCTATAAAAAAGGTGCCACACAAAAGGTTCTCATGACAAAAAGTACGTACCTATAATGAAAGGCATGGTAATAAAGCCACCCTTGCGACGATTTTGCACATGTGAACTCATGTGTTGCTGAGTCATCTCTACATGAACTGAAGCAGCTTCTATTTCCTTCTCCATGTCTAACTTCTTGTTGTTAATTAGAAAGAAAACGAAGAAGGAATATAGCAGATAAAACTACAAATAATCCTCATGCACATGCTAATCCTAATATTTTGGACAAAGAGACCTATTTTTGCGTGAGTGCTGCGGCACCCAGTACTAGAATTGTGTGAATATATATATACTACAAGAGTGGACTATGACCAATAATTTCTAAAAGAGAAACCACAAATACATGCAAATTTGTATAGTTTAAAATATTAAAGACGTCTGCCACTATCTTAAGTGGCATGATGCTTTCTTCGTGCTATTACAAAGTGGAAGTGCTGTGCCGATTAAGTATGATCACCCAATTATCATTCATTCACTTTTTTATTTCTTCTTTCCCCTAATTATTGATTCAAAAAGTTGTCCAAGATCGTACTATGTAAGAGTTCAATCATGTTACAAAAAAAACCTAATATATATAGATAAAAGAATTTATATAACAAATTTAATTACAAAATTAATCTTATTAGTATTATTATTATTTTTTTAATAGTTAATTTTCAAGGGAATTAATACTTTTTTTTTTAAGTAATACAACACAACAACGTTTATTAGGAGTATATAAAAAGAAATCGTACTACATTAATTAGAAAGTTAAAAGGATACTTATTCTCAAACTTAATTCTTTTTTTCTAGCTAGACACTTATTTTGAAATAAGGATACTTATAAACAAGACTGGTATGTGATATTATTTTATAAAATATTAAATAAATATTTAATATTATTCCTAAATTCCATTCTTATCAAATGCAGTCAGTACTATACAAAATTCAAGGAATGGACACACTTAAAGAAATGTTTATAAGTTGGATTGGTTCAAATTTGAGTAAAAATTTAATTTGAATTAATTAAATTTAATTAATTTAAATTGGTTCGAGTTTCATAAATTTTTTTTGCTTAATTGGAATTGAATCAATTTAATGTTGATTGGATTGATTCAATTTGGGTCATTGGTTATTCAATTTTTTTTAAAAAAAATTAAATTAAAAAATATTTTTTTCAAAGTAAATAGATTTTTTAATATTAACTAAATTAATATATTGTTAAAATTAAATAAATTGATAAATTAGTAATATAGTTTCTCTTGATTTATTTTTTTAATCTACTTAAAGATTACAAATACACTACAATTCATGAAAATGACATTTAAAATAATGTAATATAACTTTTCTTGATTTCTTTTAAATATTTAAAAAAATGAATAAAAAATATACATACTATAACACAAAAATGTCTTCAAAATAATATATATATATATATATATATATATATTAATTTTTAACCAAATAAAAAATAAAAATAAAAATAATATATAAATTAATTGATTTAGTTTAAATTTTAAATGTATAAATATGATATCTAAATCAATTAACATCAAAATTAATTGATTTAATTTGGGTTATATTTGAATAAAATAAATAAATAAATTAAATTAATTTGATTTAAATTGTTGATTCTCGTATTGATTCGATTTGATCAACATTTCCTACTTCCATTACTAGAAGTTACATAATGAATTATATTTTTCTTTATTTCATTGCTGAATTTTGTTCGAGTCTTATATATGTTTAATGTTTTTACTTATAATATCAAGTCAATGAAATGCATGAGTCTGAAGCATTATATATTATGAATTTTTTGGGTATTGTATTAATTTCCATAGTACTAAAGCGAAAAATGAATCTTAATATTGTTTATGAGGCATCGGATGAACGGACAGGGCAATTGAGTTATGGTGGGACAATGGACACGTAGAAGACATTTACATATTTTTTTATTGGTAAGTGTGTGACAATTAATGTATCTGTCTCTAAAATGCTCAATTAGTTACTTTATTTTTATTGATAATAGTCTTGCTGACCTGGTGTCAAATAATTATGACATGTTATGTTACTATTTATAAATAATAATAAAAAGAGGGTGCAACAACTTTGACTGTTTGAGGTGTCACGTGGTTGTCCGAACAGGTCGTCGTTCACATTGATCAATCAGCCTCACTCCCAATTTTAAGGAATCAAAACATTGCATCTCAAATTATAATTACTTACTATTATTTCTTTTTATCGTCTTTTTGAAATGGATCTTAACTACGATGAAACGAGCTTTTTTTCATATTTGAAAAATATTACTTGAATACGTATAAATATTGTTAATTTTTTTTATCATATTGTTAAATTTTGTTATATATAATTTATATTATTAAAGAATTTTAATAATATTTTTACATAATTAGATAATATTTTTTAAAATATTATCAAAGTGATATTTTTATATCATTTTAATTATATTGTTAAATTTTAGTTAACTTTATAATAATAATTAATTTTAATACAGATGTTACTATCAACTATATTTTATGACTCTTAAGTTCTAAAAAAAATTTAAAGTTGAAGACAGTTTTAGTTAGTTACCATAAAATTTATATTAAATATCAAAATTCATTTATCTCAAGTATAACTCTATGATTATATATACTCTTTATGTGTCATTCATTTATTTAATGTGAGACCTTAATTTTAAAAATTAATTAGAGATCAAAGAAGAATACTTTTATATAGCATTTTTTTACTTGATATGAGACTTTAATTTTAGAAACAATTAGAAAAAATAATAATGTTAGAGTAACATTTTTTTAGAAAAAAATGTTGTAAAAATAACTTATTTAGTTAATCTATAGTAGCATTTGAATAAATGTAAGTAGGTGTATAGTGGTTGATAGTATATCTAAGGTGGATTGTGACACACCTATGGCTCATCTGACGTGAGGAGCAATCTGCAACTTTGCAGAATATGGATCTACTACAAAGGACATGAAACTCAACAATTTCTAAGCATGCAACATTACAAATCAACTATATACATCACAACCAACATATATATGCACTCAAAATCACAATGCAACAGCTAGGAATCAAATCACCATTTTCGTTTCAACATGCTCCAAAACTCAAAGCCCTAAACTTAGATCATTCCACTTAAAATCTTGCAACTAAATAGCAACTCAAATTGAAATCAATCACAATAATGTAACAACTTCACAATGTTAAGAATTTCAAGTTTTTCTTACCTTGAAATCGAAAAGAATCAAGAAGAGAACAGAAGAGAAGAGCATCTAGCTACTTCGAGCCCACTCCAAATAGATCAACAGCTAGATTCAAGATTCATACTAACATGAATCAATAAACATGTCAAGAATGAGATTTGAGGAAAAGAATCACCCTACAAGGAAGGTTTAGAGGAGAAGGGGGCGCACAAACCAAAACACTTTTCTTTAGACTTTCACTCTCTAAATTTTTTAAGAACAAAACTTTTGAAACTCAATTTTAAATAGAAATCTTATATATCTTATTTCTTGAGGTCAAATTAAACTTTTGCCTAAAGGAATCTCGAACACTACTTAAACTTAAAAGAAATCATCAAATTTCAGAGTTCCTCGATACAAAACAATATCTCAACATAACAAGCAATATATAATTAAAACAATTACGACACTTTATAACTCACAGTTTTACACTGTGGATATTAATTTAAATTTATATATTTATTCTGTGCTTTTAGTTAAAATTTAAGAAATTGAAATAATTTTTACTTAATTAATATTTCAAATTAAAAAATAAATATTTATTTTAAAAAAAATTGTTGTAAAAACATTTTTTTAAAAATTATTTAGATTCAAAAAGAAGAATAAAAAATATTTATTTGAAAGAAATAAAGATGAAATTAAATGAATTATTAATAGATTGTAAGGACTTAATTACAATATTAGTAAGTAAATAATATTAAATAACGTGTCAATTAAATATACGGGTCTAGATACTATGAGATAATAGAAGAGAAAGTATAGAAAAAAACATGTTAAAAAAACATACACAAATAATAGTCGATCATCGAATGGATTTTCAAATTTCTGGTCCGGTTCATAGCATTTTGTAGTATCATTATAATTTATTTTTACGAGTATTATTACAGTTTCACTATGCAGCAAGTTCACCTCTTGATACGCAAATCGATTATACATAAACATAAATATATATGTGTATATGCATTTATAGCCTTATCATATATGATATATGCGACTACTACTATAAAAACATGGAAAAGGGATGAACTTATCTAAATTTCAGTGACTCACTAACTATATTCCTAAAGGAGCAATTCAACATATATATCTGCTAGTTAACTCTTCCTCCTTTGAACCATTTTATTTACTAATCTTGAATTCTTTTTTCGCCATTCTGCAATTCAGTGAACTCTTTCTCCTTTGAGCCAATTTCTTCAGTAATCTCACATGCCTTGTCAACCTGTTTCTCATTGCCAATTTCTTCAGTTGATGCTTCCTCCATGTTACGTACTTGATCAACGGTCGGTCCATAAGCCCAACTACATATCAGATAATACACTACATTAAGTGCACTCAGACCAGCTAGAACCCAATAGTACTTATCATAACGACCCTTGTTAATGTTATCCAAAACCCAACCCTCTTTTCCACCTCTTGAAGTAACGTTTTCAACAGCACTGAACACAAAACTAGATACCAAGTTTCCTGCAGCCATTCCAAGTCCAGAAAGAGAAGCAGCAACACTAGACATGCTCCTAGGAAACTCTGTGTAGTAAAACTCATTTTGGCCTATTGCATTGAATGCTTCAGCTATGCCACCCAAACAAAGTTGTGGTGCAAGCCACAACGCAGACATGTTCAACACTGCATGGGTATTGTTAAGATATCCCTCCTTGATTGCTCTCTTTCGCCTTATTGTCTCAACAAGTGCTGCAGTTACCAAGTGGAGAAAAGAGAAAAACAAGCCTAGTCCTATTCTTCTCTTTGCATTGATCCTAACTGGTTTGCCTTTTATCTTTGATGCTATAGGAAGAAGTACACGGTCATACAGAGCTATCCATACGAATATTGCGACTACCATGATTACACTGAAAGAGCCAGGTGGCACTTGAAAGTGTGAGGTGATGTGTCTGTTTAAGGATTTTGCTTGTAACAATCCAAATGAGCCTCCAATGCTAAGTGACATCATGATCCCTGTAGACCACAAGGGAATTACTTTAATAATGGCTTTTAGTTCTTCTACTTGATCTACTGTGCAGAGAGTCCACGGATTTGATGCTGAACCATCAGAGCCTATATCTTCTTCAGGATCTTTAATAACACAAGCTTTATTAAGAAACCTGGATCATAAAACATAAGCTGAAGTTATGTGTTTCATCCACAGGATATGCAAAAGATAAAGAATAAACAATACTTGATGGTGTAAAGATTTTTTATACCGCCTAACCTATAGTAAGATTATTAACTTTTATCAAATGACTATTAAACTCAAAGATAAAAGGATGATAATTTGATTCTACCTTAGTTTATCAGATGGAACCACAAGATCTGAGTCCTCCTTATGATGGTAAAGTTCAGGAGAGTTCTTGGGTGGTAATGGAAGTTTTCTGTTCTTGAAGGCCACAACAATGACTTGTGCAAATCCAGTTAACAAGCTGGTTTGTACTTTATTCTTTACATAGAGTGGAGAGGCAAGGAAGAAGGAGACAGTGGATAAAAGCATAAGTGCTGCTGGAACTCCATAACCCACTTTCCATCCAAGATGGTCTTGGATGTAAACTATTCCTGTGAGGGCAATTATGACAGAAATAGTAGCAGAAGCATAGTACCAGCTGAAGAATGTTTCCAAGACCCTGAGGTTATTGGGGTTATCTTTTCTATTCACCTGGTCTGCACCAAATGCTAAGGAGCATGAAAGACCACCATTTCCAATAGACATGAGAGCAAGGGAAGAGAGCAAGATTGCCATTTGTCCCCCTGTTGCCGATTTACAGCTTTCAGTCCCTTGGTTGCAATTTGGAGGCCGTGCCTTTGGGATCATAGCTGTTAACCACAGCAGTGCCATTCCCTGTTACCAAAGAGAAAAATGTTAAGAACTTTTCTGATTACAACACTTAATCTACTAACATAACGCTGTTGGAAGACTAACATCATCGATCATTCTAATAATAACCAAAGTGTGTTAACAAGATTGGAAAATTCTATAATAGTACTTTAAACATGGATATGCAAAGTGCAATATAGAATCATCAGAAAGCTCACATAAAAATATTCTCTTACGTTGAGTCTAGTCTACCTAACGTTCACAAAAAACATGAAAGTTTGACAGTATTTTTCCCTTGTATTATTATCCCTTAAATGAATTTGTTGTCGTCATCCAATAGTGAAACAGAAAGGGATTATGTTCGAAGAGATTTGAACAGAATCAAAGGGTTAAGGAATCCAATTTACCGGATGCAATCGTATAATATTCATTAATAACTAACTTTATTGCCATCATAAAAGTGACCACCCCAGAAAAATAAATCATGTTAACATTTCTCTCCTCAAAAGTTCACATACTATCATTATTAGACAAAAGTACCAGTTGAGAGATAGTAGTAACAATGAAGAAAAAAACCATTTTCAAAGTAATTAGCTAATGTTCATCTCAGCCATCTGCCACCTCACTGAGATTCCTACTCTTCTCATTTTATTACACAATTAAAAGGTAAGGGCAAGGGCAAGAGGAGAAGACAAGTTCCAAAATTGAAATACTAAAGTAAAAATGTACCAGAAAACTGATGGCAGATCCTAACCCAACAGCGAGGAATCGACCGAGATAAGAATCAGCAATGAAAGCAGCCACCACAGGAGTGAAATTGGCACTAGCAGAGGACAAGAGGAGTATCTGGGTAGCTTTGGCTAAGTGAAGCCTGTAGCTTCCCATCAAATAGAGTATCATGTTGGGCAAAAGGCCCAAGCTAGCCACCCTCGCAAGTGCCTCATTTGCAATGATGAAAGGCATGGTAACAAGTCCACCCTTGCGCCTCTCTGCTCGTGAAATGTGTTGGGTTGCCATTTCAAGGGAACCAAGCTCCACCTCCTTCTCCATTCTCATTAATCAGTGCAAAGAGAACACACCCAACAACTGTTATCAATGTTCATGCAGAGTAGCATATATGTGGAGTCATGTCAGTGCTTGCGCTTGCTCGGTCAATCAATCATAAACTTGCGTGTTCATACTTCACACGGTGACTCTATTCATATCTGGAATATCCATCATTCTTAACCAACTTGCAAGATAAATCATCAAATACAATTATAGAACCACTCAATATTTGCACCCTGCGTTCTTACTCATGAGTCAAACCTCTAGTAATCACCATTTCTAATTGCGACAAGAATAAATTAATAAAATAATAAACAATTTCTGGTTGCGTGAATTGGATCGTGTTCAGACTACGCGATAGCCATTACCACCAAGTGTCATCTATTCCTTTTTCTGTGCTCTAAAATATTTAACTTTAACGGTACAAATATAAAAGGATCACACATTTTAAGTCAAAAAGACAAATTTTTAATGCATATTTGGAAATTTATAACCGAAATAAAACTTTGAGTGTCTTTAACTGATTCCATGGGAAAATAGCATTAAAGTAGACCCCAATATGGTATATGCTACCTTTTTCTCCTTTATATCTATTTTTAGGTGATCTCGCATATCAAAATAGTGTATAGCTCACAAGCTTATTTTGTAACAGGCAACAATCTATTTTCTTTTAATTCAATTTTTCTTACATTCATCGGATTTTAGGCATGAAATTGAGTAACACAAATTGTTACATGTACATGATTGCATTTGCAGTGCAGTGATTAAACAAGTGCGTTACCGACCAAATTGGAGTAGTCACTGTCTCGCCTACAATTCTGCTCTGCTAAAATATTCAAAGCCATCTTCGTTTCACATTCAACATGCTTGCGACTGGGAGCATCTTTTTTTAAGTCCTTGTATGCGTTGAATAAGCAACCATTTAATAATCAATTTAATTCAAAACATATTCATACTTCAATTTAATTAACCTTGTACATATATTTAACATAGTTATAATAATATTTCAATTTAATTATATAATGTTAATATTTTTTTTAATGTGATTAGTTTTTCAAAAATTGACTCTAACAAAATTTTAAGCTTAAATTTCTCACAAACTCTTATAGCCTATTATATGTTATATACATGACTATTTTGTGTTTATCAAATTCTTGAAAGAGATTATTATGTGATTATGTAAAAAAAAATATTTTGATTTAATTTATGGTTACTGAGAGATTTGAGTTTCTTCTTATATTTCTCGCATTCAATATTATTGAATTTAATACATAAATATATGATAGATGTTTCTTTCTTTCAATAAATTATAAATAAGTTTTGATATTATATTAAAAATTAAGTAAATTTTAATTTAATTTAATTTTATAAAATTAAATAGTAAAATAAATATGGCTCTAATTTATATATCCCATTTTAACTTAATCTTTAAGTTATATGAAACTTTGATTTTTTTTTTTAAATAAGAACCCTATTTTTTGTTACAGCAATAAATGGAACCCCTAATTTACATGCATGGAACATTGACATACATTTTCGGATTTGATTTACGCTTACAGGTGCTGTATTTTGCTGGCGAACCTTTTTCTATGGCAGTTTGAACGCGATTCATCACTATCATGTCAATTATTGTGACACATTAGTTTTTTTATTATTTTTAATGCAATAAAAAATTGAGGTGATTTATTTTATAACTAAACATGATAATTTTTTTCTGAACATCCCAAAAGAAAACGCATAATAAAATTCCAAATGTCATCACCACAAATGATTTAGCAGTTATAATTGTTAAATAAAGATTGAAGTTTGATTATCATTTTAAACATCAAATACAATTAAAAATATCACTTTATCGATAAGATGATTTAATATACCTCCTAATTATATAAAAAATAACTTAATAAAGTAAAAATATGAACGATAATTATGATGAATCTTAAACCAAAATGTTTAGTTAGTCTTTTCAATTCAGAATACTGAGATATGATATAATTAATTTATACCGATTGAGTAATAAATTTGTTGTCTGTTCAAGTTTGGACTCTGTTAGTTTATTTATCCATGTGATGATATTTATATCATTTAAGTCACATATATGATTAGTTTACTTCAAGTTCTTCCAATATGCCTTGGAAATTTTATAATTTCATTTTGGGTCGTACTATCCTACTTAAAGATGGAGTATACAAACAAAATAGTTGACTCTATGACTTCGAGTACTTACTCTTTTCATTAATGAGACTGTCATTTTTTTTTGACAGGATTAATGAGACTGTTATACTTATAAAAACATATAATAGTTTCTAAATTTAATTAAGCACTTATTCTTTTTTACAATACTTTGTTTTGGTAGTGGTAGTAATTAAGCACTTACATGTATATAGTAACTTATATATTAATTAATTAAATTGTTATAGTAATTAATGATGTAGTTAATAAATTATATGCAATTGAGTTAACTGTTTTGTATAAAATCATAATGGTTTAATTCGGTAAAAAAATAAAATCAACCTCAATTTAGTTGCGTATAGACTAATTTTATTAATTTAGTTTTTTTTAAATATGATACTTCTAATATTTAAATTTTTAAATATTATGCTCTATATTTAGCACTCACAATTACACATGAATGATGTAGGTGTTTTTATTTAGAATTAGAAGAATATATTTATCATGATTCATGTCAGCCTTTAATCAAACTCTGAAGTGCATGTTGTAAAAAAAAAATGATAAATAAAAAACTTTTAACTGCATGCTTACTTATGTGTTAAATGATATTTACATTTCGCATCAAAAGGAAAGTTTTAAAAGAAAAATAGCTTTTACATTATTTCTATCATCTGATGCAATATTATAGTTACATACAATTTAGTGTGTGTTTGGTTTAATTTTTATTATGATGTTCGCCTACAAATATATATCAAATGTTCCACTTAAATTAACAACAATTGAGAAAACTGGAAAGTAACATCCATTAGGGCATATGTTAGGCATAAGTAATCATACAGTTAGTGGGTGTGCTTTCTTTATTCACAAGAATCACTATGACAATAAAAAAATAATTTTTTTTAAAAAATATCTACTTACTATTTTAATTTCATATTATTTTAATCTCTCAGTGTTACACGGAACGATTCTGATAATTCTTAAAATCTGGTAAGTGTTTGAAACAGTATCAAATCTGGGTATAAGTGCTTGAAACAGTATCTTTTTAATTCTATGATGTTAATGTGAAAGCTTTTATGAGTAGTGCAGAGGGCACATGCATATTTTCAAGTTGTTACATAGTTTCAAACACGCAAATGCATAGATTTATTCTTAAACACAATGTAACAAGAACAACCGTGAATGTGATATGATATGCTCCCAAGTTAATTTGGATAAATATCATGAAATTATTATTACATGATCTAGGTTTCATAGTCTTAATTAATATTTGTATTACAAATAATCAAATGTCACTAATTTTTATTTTTTTTAAAATTTCCCGAGTTATAGTTGTCACCTTTATCTGAAAATGAAGCGTAGCGAAAAGATAGAAAAATAATAATAAAGAAATAGCTCATGCTTCACGAGGGTAGAATATATATAAGGCTTCTACAAAGATATAAATATATTCTCCAACTTTATGGATGGGGTCTACACTCCAGAGTCTCACACATGTACGCATAACATATTGTTGATTCATGTATTCATCACCATTCATATATATAAGTTATTTTCCCCCTATCTTCTGTGTTTAGTATATAGGTTAAACGATCAAAAGCTAAAAATAAAGAAAATTTTTTATTATATTGATAAAAAAAATTACTATTAACATTTTTCTATTTTAATACTCGATGCATAAGATAAAATAAAATTTGAAAAAAAAATTAAAATTTTAAACTTACCTGAAGGAGATCATAATGTCCACCGAAACTTTTTCTTACCAAGAGATCGAGAGTTAATACGAAAAAAGGAAATTGCGTAATTAGCTGATATTAAAGTATTTTTAAAATACTAAAATTTTGTGATAAATTTTTAAAAGTATATTAAAAATGACAAACAATTTTAGAATAACTGACAGATCTAATTTCTTTTCATGTTAGGAGACCCCATAGAACATTATTTGTTGCCTTTTACCCTGAAATTTTGTGATATAAAGTGGGCCAAAAGCCCAAATGAAAAGGATCTATAAAAGGCTCATGATATATACACCTCCAGTTTTTTACAAGTATATTTCCTTTATTTTTTTTTTAAATGATAAAATATTGTAATTTTTTTTAATTTTTATAATTTTATACCTTCAACTTTTAATTTTCTACTTTTTTTTTTTATACATTTTTTGTTCTTTTTCAATTTTCACATATTAACAAAATAGGTGGGGTGAAAGAAAGGTAAGGGAGTACATGTAAAAATTAAATAAAAAAAAAAGAGAGAGAGAAAATGTGTGAAAAAAGGTACTAAATAAAATGTTGTAGGTGTAAAATTAAAAAAAAATAAAAAAAAAATAATTATTTTTTTTAAAAGGGGTGTATTTATAGAAAAAAGGAGGTGTATATATCATCAACCTCTAAAAAAAACATGATACTACACTAGTTGTAATGACATCAGGCCCATATTTTTCCTTTGGGCTTTATAGTTTTCGCTGCCAAATTACAAATTGAAAAGGATCATGATTCATGCATGAAGGAATGATACTTGCAAAATAGTGATACTGTAAAATTGGTTGGTGAAAATATAGCAATTTAATTAAAACTGCATAAGAACTAAAATATGAAAATTCTAAAGCACGAATTTACATGCGATTTCAATTTAATCCATACATTTCAATTGAATCTAAAACAATTATACGTATAATTAAGAATATAATTATTATTTTTGTGAGGACAAAGACATACCACATGATCATTAATTAGCTATTTACCAATTATTCAACCTGATCAATTGTCATTCGCAGTTTTTTTAAGATCTAATGAATAAACATGACTTTTAGAAATTTTAGCAAATTCAATAGAACTTTTATTATCTAATGACTCAAAAAATGTTGAGTGAGAAGTACTGAACAAAGGACAAGTTAGAAGTGCCAACAACGGACAAAAATAAATAAATAAATAAATAAGCTTGAGTTTATAGTGTAGTTTACAAATTCATATATACTTTATCGCAAAGCAAGAACCATTTTTCACCTTCCACCCACCATTGTTCCCTTCGAGCCTTGGATGAAGAAAACAAATCTATTTACACCAAATCTTGGTGATGTCATATCAATTAATAATATCACTAAATTAGTATATATAAATGAGAAATAATCATGTAAGATTAAATTAAACTCATATCTTAATCTCTTGAGACTAATTATAATTAAGCATCAAGTAAACTTTTTCAAAATAAATAGTTATTAATCAAATAAAATGATAGACATACGTTTTGATACTGCTGCAAGTACACTGATAGATCCTTCCTGTCTAAAAATATTCTGACTCTTTTGGGGCCCAACAATTTCCAAGTCCATTTTTCCTAAGAAAGTTTAGGGAAAATTTGTTGCTTTCGTGTGGCAAATAGTATTTTTAGTTTGGTTTAAATTTTTGGGCCATTTAATTAATATACTTCAATTTTGAGTTTGTCTTCATATATACTTTAATATTTTAGTATTTGATACCCTATAGATTTTTTTTGGTCCTGCTTCAAATTAATAATATATTTGTTACCCCAGACAATCATCAAAATTAATGTTGAATAAAGAGACTAAAACTTAAATAGAATGAAATTATTAATTATGACTAAAATTTAAATAAAATTACGTTGACTAAAACTAAAAATTACAAAATTATTGGAAACAAATATCAAAGTTTTAAAACATAGAAAATAATACCAAAATCTAACTAAACCCTAAATATACCAAAAAAAAATGCATGTATTAAAAGTCTTTTGTTTTAGAGGAAAAAAAAATTATAACTAATTAGTGTAAAATTGTTTTATACACACTATGTAGTTAAGTTTATACTTCTCGGAATGTACATAAATAATTAACTCTAAATTACATTTTGATTCCTTACCTTCATGAAGCAATCAACCAGATAACCAAATTAATTAAGGGAGTTGTTACAGTACCCTCAATGATTAAGAGGTTTCAATATATTTTTATTTATGTAAATTCATAAAAAGATCTAAACAACTAATTTAATTATAAAATGAATAATTCAAATTATATTTATAAAATAACAAGTAAGATAAAATTATAGAAATTAAAATTATATAATAATATTTTAATAATGTTATAAAACATTAAAAAAGAAAAGAATTAATAAATAATAGAAATAAAAAAAATTATTAAAATTACAATATAGAAATTAAAAAATTTAAGACAAAAAGACAAAAATATACTTAAAAAATAATTCAAATTAAAATATAGAAATTCAAATATTTTAAGTGAAAAGATTAAACTATTTAAATATATAATAATATTATTACAAATAAATTAGAATATATAAAATAAAAATAAAATGACTAAATAATTTAAAAATTAAAAAAATAAAATATCATAAATATTATTTAAATAAATTATTAAAAATATAAAATATAAAATAAAATTATAATTATAATTATACCGATACCCTCTAAAAATAATATGGACCATAGAATTTCTCATTAATTAATATGAGCATATATATTATCTAGAGATAGCAAATATTTGCGAGCGTGTGAAGCAAATAACATGGAGTGTAATTTCAGGCTGTTATAAACTAATTTGAGGGGCTCAAGTACAAAAACTATAGAAAATCAAGAATTCAATTACATTTCTTTTAGTTTAAGAACTTAATTAATTTTTTGAAGAAAAAAAAACTTAAGAACCTAATGATATATTAAACTTTCTTTTTACAAAATAATTTCTCTCATGCTGCCTCATGCGGGAAAATGAAAGGAAAAGTGACTAAGAAAATGAACAAAGGTTAGAGAGATTAAAGAGAGGTTATAAAAGAGGCTGACAGCAGAAAATCCAAGTCTCTTTTTGATTAACTATATCACCATATTTTTCTCTTGCACATTTCTTTTCCTTACACGGTTACACCATTTTCACATGATTATGAAAATATCATTATTCAATATATATGCAAATTTAAAACACGCATATAACGGGTATCTCTCGCTCTTGCCCGTAATTAGAATGTTGATCACGTGAAAAAAAAAAATCGAAATATTCTTACCATTGAAAAATCCTTGGATAAACTATTGAAATTGCTCTTTTTAGTGTACATTATGGACTAGTCAAAAACATGTAAAGGTTCTTTTTGCTCTTTTGTTTTAATTTTTTTTTTCTAATAAGGACAAACATAAGGTGATCGATCTCCTTTAGTGTATGATCAAATATCATCAACTATATGCAATCAATAGCATTTTTGAAAATTTTATCCATTCCCAAACAAAATAATATAATAATTAATGTCGGAACTTTTTAAATTTTGTTTTTCTCATTTCGTGTGTGTATATATATATATATATGAACCGTGCTACGTATTTGATCATCTAACTCAGTCTCTAATGTTAATGGATAAAAGGCAATAACAGCAATGTCATGGCACTACCTCACTGGCTTAACATTAATCCAAATAATTAAGGCAACATAAAACATAGATTGGCAAAGACATATGCATCTAGATTTAATAACTAGTAATAATATTAATAGATGAGATGATGTAAGATGTAGCGTCATGATGATGTGTGCAAGCAAATCGGAAAAGTGGTCCAAAATAAAGATGAGCCGAGAGGGGTCCATATAGGAACATTCGGGTCAGCCACGCCACATCCATCCACATGAATATCTGACAACAACTTGTTTGCTTTTCAATTATATTTTACCTCTTTTCCTCTTACAATCACTAACCAACAAATACACATCCATAATAGCTATAATGAGTACTCCTCGCGGCCATACAAACCTTCTCTCTACAAAACAACAACATGCATACCCTGAATGAGATATGTCAAGAAAGAGACTTCCTATACCACTAATTCAAAGGAAACAGATTAAAATGTCAGTCATATACTCATATAATCCAACATCCATTTATTTACACGTTTAAATTTTCTTTGGCTTCAGTGCTTAAACTAAGATATATATAGTTAATTTTACTTCTACTGTAGACTACATGCATGCATGTAGCTCTGCAACTTTGTCACAGGATCGGAAGGTATCATATATGCTTCGAGGTTCAAATCGTTCTAGCGCGCATATTTGCTATCATTAGTATCATATAAATTTATTTCTAAATTGCAAAAGATGATGGAACTGCATGCGGTTAACATATGTCCTGTAATGTATTAATTACTTAGTGACATGACATGTTTCAACAAATGTTTAAAGAATATTACAATCATTGTTGACAATATGAAATATTTTATTATTTTTCTATATCACCATTAGCTAGAGCAGATCAGTAATTAATTCTCATGACCTTGGACCAGATTTGCTTAAATAGAGAAAATTGAAATTGTACTCCAAATTTATTTAGAGTATATTATTTACCCAACAAACTTTACAACACTTTTATTGCATTATTTTTTCTCTTTATCTCTCTCGATAACATCATATATTTTATCGCACTATTATTCCTGTAAGTGGGCATTTTTTTAAAATTTATTTTAAGCAGCAAAAATGCTAATTATCTCCTATTAAACATCCGTAATTTTGTGAGTTTTGGAATAGTTTTTAATTAGAGAACTGGCTCTAATATTATTTATACATTTTTTTAAAATATCAACACCGTATTTCTATACTTTGCTTGTTTATATTTTTCTTTCTCCATATCACATCGATTACAAATCTATAAAGTTGGGACACTCCGAGGGAATATACCACATGTCTCACGGGAGTTGTTAAAAGAGCATTCCCTGGTGGAATATGTATAATCTCACATCCATGAATATTTTATGCATCCAAAAATCTTTACTTGGTTTGAAGTAACTTTATAAAGCGATAATGTTTTTTGATTTAGGTCGAAATTCATTGTGCTATTTATATGTCATCATTTGCATATTCCTTCTCCAGATTTAGATTTAATACTGTTAAAATGTCTACTTCTTAAAGCAGGTTCATTTTGTTTTTATTGTATACGCGCGGTTGGTAATTGAAATTCATATGATAGAGCTTTGCGCTTTAGCTTCTTTTCTTACACCATTTACCCCACATGAAGTCTTCTTTAAAGTTTAAACCCTTCTTCCAAGAAGTTCATTCAAGAAGAGCACATGAAGGTTCTTTTTATCTCTAAGTTTATACTTATCATTTGAATAAAGAAATGCTATAATTAACATACTTGTGACTAACAATTAAAATCGTTTCTTCCACTAAATTTGAAGCAGTAGAATGAAAAAAATAAATAACTAACAAAGACAGGATGTAAATTAATTAATTAATCAGCTACTATGACTAATGATGTGAGCAAAATAAGGAAGAATATGAGATCCGCACAGTGCATATTTCTTTTTCCTTTGAAAGTCAAGATGCATATTTAGAAGAAGCACGAACATAGTACAGATTGATTAAAGTTTAGAGAAATCTTAAAAAAGTTATCCTAACTAGATGAGAGCTAGCCAGTAAGTACATGATGATTTAAGAAAGGATATATAAAATTCCATGGAGTGAATGGCATATAGCATCGTGAGCAATCAGCCTTTTGATTATTAGAGATTGAGTGTTCACGATGTTATATCATATAATCCACAAATATGAAATATTAATTCCAGCTAGCACTTAACATATGAAATGTTAAAATCCTCTGCCGTATGCAGGTGGCCAGTAATCGGCCCCATTTTCGCTTCCAACGTGTTGGGTACAAGACACTGGGACCAAGCACAACCCTCTACTCTTCAAGTCCTTTGGTTTTTCTTCTGCATCCTGTTTAATTAATAATATGAACCATGCAATTTCTGACAGTTAGTTTCTATACCCATTTTCTGCACTAATGCTAGTAATAATGATAACGGAATATAATGCATCTTGATTCTTGAATATTGAAAACAAGGGAGTGGAGTACCTGGTTTGGAGCTCCCTTTCTTTTCAGGCCATTATTGTCATTCAACAGCTACATGGGAATAAAACCAAAAAGTATTAATTACTCATTACACTTCTTTGACTTCAATTAAGCAACTCGTGCTTTAAAAGATGTTATAAAAAGCTGAGAAATCTTCTTCTTTAAATGCCTTCTTTTCATGGATTAAATATTTCAATAATTGCAAACAAGGGCTCCTAATTTGGTTCTAATGAATTCATGGATCCGATAAAGCATACCTGACCCGGGTCCTCTGGAAAAACAGAATTTCTTTCTCCATGTACCTGTATTTGAAGTAAAAAATAAAAAATAAATAAAAAGAAGAAGAAACATTCCCTTCAATTATATTCTAGTACAAACAATATATATAGGTCATTTTTGTCCTGTTCAAACTAGTGCGTCAAGTCTTGGTGAGAGAAAGAGAGAGAAAGACTTTGGAAAATGGGTACTCACAGACTGTTGATTCCTCATGTTTTTTGAATTTGATGCATTGTCCAAGTAAGGAGAGCTGAGTGCCTGCATCCAAGTAGGGAAAAAGGGAATAAAATTTTATAACTCCCATAACTGAAGAATGTTTTGGGAGAAAAACATATAAATATTGATGAAACTTTAACTGCATGCTCTCACTGCTTGCAGTAGTATAAATAATGTGTGGGAAACATCACCTCAATTTGACCCTGCAGGAACCTTATATATCCAATGGCTTCTAACAACACAGAAGCTGTGTCAGTCTGCAAAAGTCACAAAATGAAGGGTCATCTTTCTCTTTTCTTTAATGTTAAAAGTGAAGTTCCAATCAATGGCAAAAGATAAAGAGAAGTTGGATCATGGAAGGATTGAAAAGAACTATTCATGGTGGACTTTTAAAACCAAAAACAAAAGCTAGCTAGCTCTTAATTGTAATTAATGGCTTATGGTTTTGTATGGTTTATTATTACCTTTCCAAACGGAGATTATATGTAGTTTGGTTTATTATTACCTTTCCAAACGGAGAAACTAGCTGGTGAAGTGCTGTTATTCTATCTCCTAGCTTCTCCTTCCGCACCTGATTCAAATTCATACATGGAAATCATTACATGAATTATTCTTGTATGTGTGTTTTTCTCTCTTCCAACAAGTATTTGCCAGCAGAAAGAATATTAGTCTCAAACAAAGACAATCAAGAAAGACAACACACAACAAAACGCACACATGTATACAAGCTCACTCACCAAGTGAGAGAGTTATATAAGAAAAAAAAAAGAGGGAGTGAGTCACCTTGAGAGGTGCTTGGCTTGAAGATGGCTGAACCCTAGCCTTCTTCCAAACTGCAACTGTGGCTGTGCTATTACACTAGAGCAGAAGAAAATCAATTTGAATAACATGTCATACTATATATGCAAGTTTGGATGAGAAGATAAGAGATAAATCAGTTAATAAGAATCTCTAGCTCTTTTTTCTTACCTCAGATATTTGGTCTTGTAGTAGATTGTTCCTATGATCTGACTTGTTATAAGTGAAATCCAATATATTATTACTACTCAAGCTAGTGACACAAGACCCCGGAGAAGAAACTGGCACCATGTGTGACCAAGATGAGCCAGCTGGTCCAGAAGCCTGAAACTCCTCAAGTCCATGGTCGTACAAATTGCCCCTTTGAGAAACTTCTTGCTTTATTACATCAAGAATAGGAACTCTAGAAGCAGTATTAAGAAACTGAACATCCCAGTTTTTCGGCTGAAAATGACTGAAACCAAGTTTCTCTTCTTCTCCCGGTAATCCAGTACTGCAAAACAAACACAATTCCCAAAATGCATACTAGACACAAGTAATAACTATGGTCATAGGTAGAACATATTAAATGAACTAGCTAGAAAGAAGAGAGAGAGAGAGAGAGAGAGAATTTACTTACGAAAGCAGTTGGCTCCATGACTGAGGAGGCTCAGGATTTTCAGTCAAAGAATTAAAAGGAATTGAAGAAGGAGGAAGCACGTATTGGGGTGGGATCAAAGGTGGTGGATGCATGCTCCACCAGTTAGGGTTGCCAGCCATCATTTTCTGCACTGGAAGAGTTTCATGTGGAAAATATTTCAAGTCAAAATAATTAATTAACCTGTAAGAAATGAAAATTTCAATCTCCTTTTTCCTTCTACTTTTCCACTTTCAATTCACCTTTGTGATATTTCCTTGTATGCACACCCAAACAAGGCTTGGCTAAAGGTTTGAGAGTTCTGTTTTGCTTTCTTATACTAGCTGTTGAAGAAACTTAAAGCTTTGGGGTCTCACAGTATTTTATAGAGATGGGGTTGAGGAACTTTGCTTATGTTGCTTTCTCTTTCCTATCTATTCAGTTTTCCTTTTTATTCCTACTTTTGCTTTATTATAAAGTAGAACACAAAAGCTGGTGGCCAGTGTGTTGAGGTTAATACTACTCTCTACTCAGCTCTTAGTTCCTTAATTAGCTAGGGGTTGCACTTGCACCTTGGGATTGATTGGGGCTAGATAACTAGGGTTGAGGAAGATGTAGGGCATAATATAATACTGATTAATGTTATTGTTTGGTGCATTCTTTATTCTTTTGCAGCAATAATTCACTTTAACATAACTAACATACAAAATTTAGTGGCTGAATAAAATAAGAAGACCAAGGCAGAAAATGATAGGAATTGCCCATAAGTGCTTTTGGCAACTACAATACAAATCTAAATCATCAACATCACGTTGAAGTAAGATTCAAATTAACTAACACACCGTTATTAGCGTAATTAATTATAACCGACACAATAGGTTATTATTCTTTATATATATCATTGGGTGAATCGGATTCTACGTTTATCAGAAGAGACAAGCGATGCAATTAAGCATCGAAATTGCTTGTCTTTTATATTAATTAACTTATCGAGTATATATGCTAGGATTTACTCATTAATGCGCATGTCATTATCAATATAATTTCTTGCTCAAACCTTATGTATACAGTTTGGAGGATCCAGTCAAACCATAAGAAACGTTGGTTCCATCAAAAACAGCAACAGGTTCAAATTGCCAAACATTATAAGAAAATTAGAAGATACTCATGATTTATCTATTTTAGCTGCCACCAAAACAATTCTGTACGGAAGACCAAACCATATATGCAAGGGGCAAGGGCCCTACATATTTCAATCTTCTGTTTTTTTGTATCATAGTGCCACAGAAACGGAGCAACTAGCGTTTCTTAGTTTATCACACAAATAACTCCAAGTATTTAATTCATCATTTTTTATATTTAAAATTCCAACTCGATATACAATATTAATTAATTAGGTGAAACAACCTAACAATATTGATTTATCTATTTCGAAGACCATTAAAAATATTTTTTAAATATTAGGTACAAGTCCTAGATACTTAATTACGTGGTTAAAGTTCTTATAAATATGGTTAGGAGAGAAAGGATCATAGAGATGATGAATGAAGTTCTCAACTTACGAAATGTTATATTCCTAATCCTTGTCAAGCCAGATTACTACACTTACGTAGTTTTCTTTTACAGTTACTTTTTTTTCCTTTTTTTTAATGTCATAAGAGACGGAAAGTAACATTTCCCTATATATATTATATATGGAGCATATCAAATGAGAAAAAATTTATTATGAGAGATGAGATGGTTAAAATATAACATTTAGATTAATTTTCTCTTACTTGATTAAACTCCAAATTTTCTCTCACTTGATTAATCTAAGGGTTATATTTTAACCCTCTCATCTCTCATAATAAAATTCCTCTCATTTGATATGCTATGGAAGCATATTATATCATATGAGAGGAAATTTATTATGAGAGATGAGAGGGTTAAAATATAACCTTTAGATTAATTTTCTCTCACTTGATTAAACCCCAAATTTTCTCTCACTTTATTAATCTAAAGATTATATTTTAACCCTCTCATCTCTCATAATAAATTTTCTCTCACTTGATATGCTCCTTATATATATATATATAACATAAATTGCATTTTCGGTTCTCTAACTCTTAGTTAATGATAACATGACACATTAACTTTGACTTGACAATTTAGTTAATTCCTCTCTTATGACAATTTTTTTTTTCTGCTTTTCATTGAACATAGTTCTCATTTGGATATCTTTATTTAACTTTTATCAAACTCTCATTATTGATGATGTGATATTTTCAGTACTAATAACGTGATAACTCACGTGTCATTAACATTGACTAGTAATGTGATACTGGCATAATAAGAAAATATAAAATTTAAAAATAATAAAAATATTTTCATAAGATTAAAAACTATGACTCTCACTATCAAATTTATCATTTAAACCACTAGATTATCTACCTTTTTGAGTTATAATATGATCACTATAACTACTTAAGTTAACTTTTTAAAAATTCTTATTTAATATTAAATCTATTTTAAAATTAATAAATAATAAAATTAATATTCTATAATATTTTGTTCATTTTTAGTTAGTTGCTTTTTAAAAAAATAATAAAGACTAAAAGTAAATTATTCACGTATTACAAGGATAAAAAAGAATATAATAAGTATATTATAAGGACTAAAATAAAATAGCGAGAACTAGAATAAAAAAGAAAAATTTTACATGGGTCATTTTAAAATAACAATATATTATAAGTACCAAAAACAAAAAGTTTATATATTAAAGAGAGAAAAAAGTATATTTATTAAACCCTTTATATATATATATATATATATATA